AGGTTCTTAATATGTCGAGCAAAGAAATGGAAATGTGGCTTTCAAGTGATGAAATAAATGTTGGCGCCGAAGAAGACGTGTTTAAGATTATTCTAGCATGGATTGATCACGACAGATACAAACGACAGAAATATTTCGCCGAGTTATTTGGTCACGTTCGAGTTGTTTTTGTATCGCGTGACTTTCTACCCAGTGATATTCTAAAGAGTGATTTGGTGAAAGACAATGAATGCTGTCTGAATCGTGTGGTGGACGCTATAAATTTAATTGACTCACAAAACTATGGTAATTTGTCCATTGCACCTAGAAAGTCGCTCGAGACCTCTGTTATGGTTGTCATAAGCTCAGTAACCCGTAATAACAGCTGTAAGCAGAATGGTCAACCTATTTTGTGTTATTTTCCTGGTGAGGGTAGATGGTGTAAGCTAGGTGAAATGCCCCGTCAATATCCGAAGAAGGGAGGATTGATCTTTCGCCGGGGTAAACTGCATTCACTTCAACATAGGTCTCTAGATACACTTGGATTTGCAAGCTATGATTTATATTCATACTCAGTGTCTGTTAGCGGGCTACCAGACATATGCATAGATTTTGCCATGGTATTAGAAGAAATATTTGTTGTCAATGACGATGAAATATACGCTCTGGTGTGTGGAAGACGAGATGTGGACTACAGAGTACGCCGGGATGTTAGAAGCGAAGAAAGGAGGAAATGTATTTACTCCATTATAAAATACAAACAGGATTCAAACTCGTGGGAAGATGTAACTTCACTTGATCATTTGCCGGACGCAAGATATAATGTTTGCATTGTAGCCAAAGACGATTTTGTCTATTTTATTGGCGGTAAAGAATGGATTGTTGCAGAAACGGGTGTGTATGAAAAGCTTACACTCTGCACTGATGTTTACAGGTACAATATTAGCAGAAACCAATGGGACAGGGTGGCTGACATTCTACGACCGAAAATGGACCTGAGCGGAGCTGCATGTAACGGAAGAATATTCATCACTGGAAAGGTTGAACTGGGAATGCACGAAACATCAATGTGAAGTATACTGTGAAACAACAAATGAGTGGCAGTTTATTGCAAGCTTGGACATCAGACCAGGAGAATATCCCAAGCTTTTGTCATTCGATGACCAACTGTATGCTCTTGGCTGCTGGATGTTTTATAGACCCGCTTCACCACTAGATACAAAAGTAGAATGTTATGATCCAGTCAAGAATGAATGGATCTGGAAAACTGACATACCCATCCAAACGGCTCCGAATATCACAAGTGCTGTGAACGCTTATTCGGCGAGAATATTCAAAGGCTTCCTCAGCAATCAGCAACTGAAAAGCATCAATTCCGGGAGATATTTTTATCCTTCCTCGTCAACAAAAGCGAAAGAAGGCAAATGTGTCATCGTATGAATGAAAAGCCATCCACTACTTAGCTGCACTCAAACTGTTGTAGTTCACGGATTTTACAATATGTACACCACGCGGACCTACTTTTTCTTAGTTTCTCACACGTGGCCACAATCGAACTACATTGTGATTCATTGAAATTTTGGTAACTAGTGAAACGATAGCTATTCCAAACTGGGCTTTTTTTGACATTTAAGAAAAGATATTGCAGGAAACTTTGCACTAACTTGTTAAGTCCTGTCCTTGTCTTCCCTAAAGTCATCAAATTTCCCCCAACTTCTAACAACCACTGTATTGTTAACTGATGAACATTTTGTCAGATGATCATCTAATAAAGACAATGTCTGCTCGTGTATATATTCAGATGTTTTCAACTTTTTGTTTGTTTTCTTTCTGCGCCTGGTGTTTGCCGTATTGCGGGGCGTCTGCTGTTTCCTTCGTCTGGTATAAAAAACGCTCTGAGCTCTCAATTCGTCGTTCACTGAGATGTACAAAGGTGAATAGTTAGTGACAATGAATTACATGTAACCGTCTTCTGTCTGACTTTAAACTGACACGCATTGCCATTCAGACGCAGGCAGACAAATCATTCGTCTCAGGGTTGGAATCTATTACATCCAGCTTAAATCTATCGATTTTGCGAATGTTTTCATTTTAGCGTTAGCCTCGAAAGGTATTTTCAGATTTTGCTTAAGAGTTTGATCTGCTAGCCACATATAAGACAATTTCTTTTGGGGCCATACAGCTAACCCATTTTTGCCTTAAACAATTGTTCGCTTTGAAAGAAAACGAAATCAAAACGGCCGCCTCTAAAACCTAGCTAAAACTGTACTTTGCACAAATGAAAATGTTTACTCGCCATACTCAGCCATAACCTTACTCTGGGAGGGATTTTATGCGTCTAGTGTAAAAACGTTCAAGATCTCAATTCGTCGTTCAAGATGCACGAAGGTGGAGGGTTCGTGCCAATGAATAAATCGCCCTCTGCCTCACTTTATACACATACGTATTGCCACACATACGCACGCAGACAATTCATGATGACTGCTCTCCTTCACAAGCTCGTTTCCTTTTATTTATCAAGAAATTGCGGCAAATTCTATGTAAGAACAGCGATGTCAAAACTTTGTGGGACATTTCTGCGACACGTAGAGATACTGAAGAAGTCATTGTAGAATGAACGTGCTTCACTCGATCGCGTGCGCTCAAGACGTATTCAGTGGTACAATCGTATAACTGAAAGGTCACTGTTTTGGAAATCCTCACCCTCTTTCATTGAGGGGTGCATTATTTGCAACCAGCACGAGAGAAAACAATGTTTATGTTTTCTGTTTCTGTCTGTTACTCTTTCTGTTGACCGATACTGTGGTCTGGGTGGAAATGTGAGACTGGCCACACAAACAGCGAAACAAGCGGATGTGGAATATTTCTGAATTTTGTTCGAGCAGTGAAAATTTGAACCAAATCAGTGGGTTTATAATGCAGCTTCCTGCGAAGAGTTTCCATGGGACTTTACCTTGCAAGTTGAAAGGAGAACCTCAAAATCCCGCCAAAGAAAAGTTAAAGCCGAGAAAAATAGCAGGTGCTAGATTCTACATAGAAATCATAACAACAACATGCCAACTGCGAGAACATTGCTTGAAACAGAGTAAAACTGGTGGTCGATGAAGTATTCTGGATTTCAACATCTGAACGCAAGTGTAAGAAAACACCAGTTTATACTTGTCTTCTTTATTTCCCCAATCCGTGAACAACGATCGTGGTGTTTAATTTTGCAGCACGCTGACTGTGTAGGTTCGCGAACGTTTGATATCAGTAAGGTGAGCTTTGATTCAGTCGCTTGCGATGATTAACTTTTTCAATACACGTCCTGGTAGGTTTGCCCTTCACCATTATTTATACACGGTGTAATTTTCAACAAACAACTGAGAGAGCATATTTAGCTAATGGCAATTTGTTAGTCGTTTTTACTTTTAATATCATTAACAGTCTAAGGCTTGAAATATCAGAACAACATCGGGAGCGTATTTCTTTTATTTCCTTTTTGCCCGGTACGGAATAGGACGACTTCCTGTCAACGACATTTAAGACGAGTAGCGCAGGGGACGACAATGACGCTGCATTCGAAATTGCGCTGTGCCGTGAACCATGCGCGAACATATCGTGTTTTCCGCTTGCTACCGATCGAGAGGAGGGACCAAGTGGTTTTCTTAACCTTCGTCCCTAATTGGTTGTAACACAAAGAACACTGTTGAACGGTCTACGAACACAGATGAGTTTTCCGATCGTTATTTCCGAAAGAACAAATTAATGGAACCGAAATAGAGCCGACAGAATTGAAGTGAAACGGCACTGAAACGACAAGCGGAAAGTCAAGAATCCTTCGCAGTCTAACGTCTTTAAAACCAAAGCGTCTGCTATTTTGGTAAGCTAAGAGATGGCCGCCTTATTTCAGCCTGAATATACTTCTGAGCGCGTTACTTCAAGTCCAAGGAAAGAAAATGAACTCTTTATGCCAAAAGAGACGCCTGATCAGCG